CGAATCCCCTAACGGGCTGGCTGCATGGGCGTTTTAGTGGTTTTCCCCATGTGTAACGTGTATACGAGCCAGTTTACCTTAGAAAGTCCTCCACGAAGGCATCCCTCCCTTTAGGCAGATAGCCCTCGTGTGCTTTGCCATAATTAAATATAATTGATTTGTAACTTCTACTAGAGCTGACGGTAAAAATTGAAGTGCAAATAAATAATATCGTGTGCAATCTTGATTAATATAAATTAAAAATTTTGCATAGAAAAATATTTGCATTCACACAGAAAGTTTTTTGAAATATTTGCAATTACTTTATAAGAAGGATTTATTAATAACCGTAATAATTACTTATTATATTACTGATGATTAGGATTCAGTTCTTGACAATTACATTCTAAATTAGAATTTTAAGGATATAATGAAAATAAGCTACGCACAAAAAATACATTTTTACAGATTAAATTGACATTAAATACAAAAATACAGAATGTTGGGTGTCGTTTATATAATTATTCTTGCTTGTCCACAGAATCTGCTGACTTATCCAGCCATTAAGTAGCTGCAGATCATTTCTACATAACCATTGAACTTCCATTAATTCAGTCTCTACAGGGTTGTATGTTTATATCATAATTTGACTTTTATAAAAATGATTATTCAAAATCTTATATTTCTATAAAAATATACTATGCTTTAAAAATATGGATGATAGTATCTGCCGCTCTTTCAGCCACTTCAAAAGCAACAGTTTGTTTAGAAATAAATTATGCAGTTAATGTCATAAAATATTTTCATTAAATTCAAATAAACATTAAACGAAAATTCTCAGTTTTAGACAATTCGATTTAAACGAAGTAAAGTAAAGTAGCAGACGATAAAACGCCGAAGGTAAAAATTTACTCTTAGAAAAAACGTTACTCTTATTTTTTAAAAAAAACGAGAAGAATGAAAAGAGAGAAATTTAAAAAAATTGTTAAAAATTTGAATAATATCATCTATAATTTAAAAAATAGATTTTCATATAGTATTAATAATATTTTATTACGTCTTATTGTGGGAAAAAATTTCATATAATTAATTCTCCGTAAAAATTTTACTTGAAATTTAAGGTTAAAAATAGCTGTGGCAATTCAGTGTAACAAAAATCCATAGACCACATTTGGCGTTATTATCGCCCGCTCCCCCCAAAAAAAGATGCCAAATTTCAAAACGCGAAAATATGTAAATTCGTGTATATCTTAGAAAATTTTGAATAAAAAAGTCTAAATTTTTTGCAGATATGCTTAAAAATACACCTACTTTATGATGATGGTAAAGAATTTTATAGGTTATAATTCAAAATTTTTTTCGAAAAAATTTATAAAAATTATTTAAAAATAGAAATTTAAAAAATAAAACACAAAAAATGGGTAAATTTTATTTGGAATGAACCTAAATTTCGAAATGTGAGAGAAAAAATAAAAAAAGTTTAGTAAAAAAAGAGATATTAATAAATATTTGCCGAATTCAATTAACATTGAGGAGCTAATATTTTAAAAACTACTCGTACGATTTTTACAAAACTTGGTATTCTGGCATAATTTGAGCCGTAGAATCGAAATATGGAAAAAAATTGGTATGTTATTTCAGAAAAAGTCCGATTTTGTGTCAAAATACCTATGTTAGAATAGTGCTATATATAAATCTAATATATATCCTAAGTCGCGCTTTCGAGACATGAAAAACGCAGTTTGAATTTTGTCAATCGGCCCAGTAGAACGGGAGATATAGCACTGTCCCATTTTTTTTCTTGAGCAGTGTACATTCACATAAAAGTGAAACAAAAATATATACCAGGTTGTTCAATAAGTTCGCGGAGTGCCATCTATTCGTCAATATTAGACCTAAAACTTCGATGCCATTTTTCATATTTGTTCTTTCTCAGGAACACGTCAAAAGTTTCATTTCGATCTGTTAATTTATTCATTGTTTAACCACCCTTTATATCTAACGTGTTGTGCCTTTTTTCAGGTATGGATAAAATTGAGCAACATGCAGTTATCAAATTCTTTGTAAAGAAAGGTTTAAAGGCAATGGAAATTCATACTGAAATGGTGAATGTGTTGGGTGAATCTGCTCCTTCAAAAACAATGGTTTGCATTAAATTGCAAGCGGGCTAGTTTATTCAAAAGTGGTCGTACCAGCCTTGAAGACGATCCGCGAGAGGGACGTCCAAAAACTGCATCAACACCGGAAAAATACAAGATTTGAAGACCGTCGATTGACTGAAAGAGATTCAACAGAGGCTTTAGGCATTTCATTGGGCCCAGTGAGCAATATTTTGGAGTGTTAATTTGCTTTTCCAAAAACTCAGTGCAATGGGTGCCGCATTCTCTAATGATGGAGCAAAAACACATTCGGATGAGACTTTGCCAGCAACATTTGGAGCGTTTTAAGAAGAATAAGAGTGACTTTACCCACCGATTTATCACAATTGATGAGACTTGGGTCTACCATCATGATTCTGAATCAAAACAGAAGGCTAAGGAGTGGTGTGAACCTGGCTCTTCGGTGCCGAAGAAAGTTCGTTTGCACAAATCAGCCAAGAAGGTGTTAGCATCAGTTTTTTGGGATGTGAAAGGAATTTTGTTTATAGATTACCTTCAAACTGGCAAAACAATTAATTTGGATTATTATTGTAACCTTTTGAATCAATTGGAAATTCGTGAAAGAAGACCCGGATTACAGAAGAAGAAAATCATTTTCCAAGATAATGCACCTGCGCACACAGCTCAAAAAACCATTGTTAAAATAACTGAATTGAAGTACGAATTGTCGCAACATCCAGCCTATTCGTCAGATTTAGCTCCTTCCGACTTCTGGCTCTCCCCACACCTCAAACAATATCTTCGTGGAAAACGATTTTCTTCAAACGAAGCCGTGGAGGGATATTTTGCAGAGCTGCCAAAAAACCACTAGTCAAGGGATCCATAAATTAGAAGACCGTTGGAATAAGTGTACAGTAAGACCCCGCTTAACGCGGTGGATACCTTCCATCAAAGTAGAGCGTAATGTGAAACAGCGCTAAACGAGGCTATCTTTACATGTAAATATTGGGGTTAGGGGAAGATGGCTAGGAAATTGGTTAGGTATTAATTTAAAAAGTATGTTTTTTTAATAAAAATAAACCAAAAACATTTATTTCTTAAAGCCCAAATTAATACCACATTATTATTTCTTGCAAAAATAAAAACAAAATATAAACAACAAAACGAATATTCTTAAAAAAAAAAAAAAAAAAAAAAATTCTCAGTCATATTCAGTTAGCTTTCCGCGTTTTCAGTGTTCTGCCTTTTTGTGACAAAAGCATCTAATGTTGCTTGCCTTTTTCTTTTGCTTTGTTCTCTTAAAAGTTCTTCATAAACGGATAGAGCATCTCTAACACCACGCCTACTTTTGAGCTCCTGTCAAAATTCGGATCATTTTCAATGAATTGATCCATTATTTCAGTTATGGTAGACAAACTCCTTTTTACAAATGCCATCGAAAGTTCTTTTTGCTCTTCTTCTGAATCACTGCTGTCAACATTTTTGTTTCCTTCTTGTCCAGTTAATTTCTTGAGCTCATCATTAGAAAGACTAGCCGCTGCTTCTTGAATTATTTCTTCGACATCTTCCACATTTATCCCTTCAAAATATGTCTGTACAATACCGCACCAAACAAGAAATACAAGTACACTCTTTCGGATATGTATTTGAAACCTATCGCTGTATAATATTTCGGGGAATCCCCGTATGCTGCGAGCGATTTCGTGGAATCCCCGGGTTGAAATAAAAGAGCGCCCGGATTGCAGATGTCAATCAAAGTGCATTCGCTCGCTGATTGGAGAAACGCATACGTAACAGTAGATATCCCAAAATAAAGGTAAATTTTTCCAATTAACGGATTTTGTAAAGAAATGTGGAGAAGCGGTAATAAATGAAGATGATAGAAAAGAAGTTTTTCATTGTGATGACAATGCTTCTCAATCACCAATCAATTAATGAACGAATGGTGAAATCTGTAGTACGGTTCTAGATCCAGAAAATACCATTACCGATAGTGAAGAAAGTGACAAAAGTTACTGAAAATGAGAAAATTTCAATTGACAAGTTAGTCAGAATTCTTGAAACAGCAGTTACAGGAATTCAATAATGTAACTAAACAAGAGATTATGTCTGTCTACAGAATTAAAGAGAGAGTATTAGCACAAAAAACGTAGTAACTAAACAAATAAATATTAAGCCTTTTTTTCATAAAATTTGATACCCTTTAGATTATAAATACTTCATTATTTCACAAATCACGATTTCATATTTTTAATTTTATAATTTCTACATGCCATCTTACTAGATTTAAACTGATGATCTATTATCCGGAAAAATCCCAAATCCGGAATCACCAAAGTCCCGATGAGTCCGGATTTCAGACTTTGTACTGTACTTGTTATTCAACATAGTAATTTTACTTTAAGTGAATAACTTCCTTTCTGAATGAAGCAGAAATTTAAAGTTTTTAGACCAATATAAAATTTATCATTAAATATTAAAATAATAACTCTGTTTTTAAAATATCAACTATTTACTGATAATGAGTTATTTAAATTTTCTTACCTCTCAAATAATATATTATAGTTTATACAAAAGACAAGAGTTTTATACACACTTCATAGTTTATCTTTTCACCCATATAAAATCACACAGACATTTGAAACACATAAAACATTTTAAAAATCTTCAACAAATTTATCTTTGAAACAATGCACTAAATAATATATTTGAAATAGATATAACTTTTTGAAATGCATTTAGATGCTTAAATTTACATGATGTGATATTAGACTTTTGAAACAATATGCATTAGTAAAAGCATCAGATTTATGGTATAAATTACTGATGATAACAGAGTTTATAGAAATCCTTCAATCTTTGGAATTTTAAAGAAGAAAAGGAAAAATGGAACAAGATATTTAATATCCAAGACAAAAAATATTATTCTGTATACAAATTTTCTTTTATTACATGGCTTTTACTGTACAAGGTAACTTTACATATATATATTTTATGCTGAGAATACAGGCACAGAGTATGTACAAAATTTCTCAAATATGTTGATTTGCAAAGTCACTCAGAAGTTTCATAGTAGTTTTATCAAATTTAGTTTGCACAAGACTGTCTCGAATGAATTTTCGAGCGAAGTTAGTTGCTTGCTTTTGCACCTGCTCTGGATTTAAGTGCTTACGCTTTTGCAATATTTTAGTTTTTAAAAAGTTCACAATTTTGGAAAAGTCATTTGTGGTGCATGCTTGGAAACCTGAAAAATGAACATAAAAAAACTACATCATGAATATAACTTGTAATAATATAGAAAGATGATTTACATTATTTTCTTAAAACTATTAAACATAAGCAACATATTCAAATTAATAATTCTTTACATTTATCCTTAAAACTGTCTGGAAATTTAACTGTAAATCATTAGATACTAAAACATCTTCCATGATTTGAAGACAATTTAATTAAGATCGTAGCAAATAGCAGCAGCACCACCAACAACATTAGAGCTTAACTAATACCTTTGTCATCAAGAAAGCAATAAGCTAATTATCAAAAATTGAACCAATAAATCATGTAATTAAAAATGGCAAAATAATACCATAGAAGTATTGAGATGCAGATGCAAAAATCTTATAAAATAATCTAATCTGAAAAATCAAGTCAAATTAACATTTTCTGTTTTAATGCAGTTAATGAAAGTTATTTTCACTTTTTCATTTTCAATTTGTAATCTCTATAAACCATTAAATCAGATAACAGCTGTTAAACTCTGCAAATCTATATGAAAACCTGCAAGAATTATGGAACGATATTTTTCAAGCTAAAACGAAAAGATTTGTTTCATATGATGCATTAGTTAAAATAATTAAAAAATATGCTTTCTTTTTCATAAACTTGAAATTTAGAAGACTTTTCTCCAAACTTTTAAAGCACTGATCAATATTTATAGTCTGTTTTTTAAATGCTAATGCACATTTGTATTACATAAGCCTACTACACATTTATGCAATGAAACAAATATTACATTGCATTTGCATATAATATAAAAATAAGCATTATATGCAACAATTATTAATAACAGAAAGCACAAAATATTACCTAGTACACATTTGTATAAAACAAAAATACTACATGCAGTAAAATATCTCGAATCCAGTACACCCAATTAACCGGCAAAAAATAATAGCACTTTTGAAGGTTTAAATTTAGGCTTAAGAGACAAATGCATAAGTTAATAAACTAAAGATTTAAATTTAGAAAATAATTATGCTTCTGACGCCCAACATAACCAGCCTTATCCAAGATTGAACTAGGAATTATTTAGAATATAAAGCTGAATTTGCACTGAAGTGTGAACTTTTGAGGCAGTATCCAAGATTTTCAGAAATAATTTAAATTGAAAGATGGTAAATTTATTTTGTTGTTTACTTGGAAAGTGTAAAAAACATTACTTTATATTGCTTAGTGATGATGAGGTGTAGGTTTGGATGGACGTCTACAGTTCTGTTTCAGCCACATTCTCTCAAAAGGATGACAAAATGATTGGATATGTACTATGAAAGGAAAGAAATAAAGGAGGAGGAAGATGAAGAGAGAAACAGAGCAAGAAAGTTATGTGGAAAGGAGCTGAAAAAATATGTTGTTAAGAAATGTTAAATTTATGCCAGTCCATGACATTATAAAGCTATATCACTACATTTTTAACCCTTTGACAAGCGGTGGTCGCGCCCTGAAACCACCACTTTTCGAATTTTTTTCTCCTCTTCTTTCCAAAATTTTTGAGTGGAAATCGATTGATTACTAATCTTTTACCTCTAAATAACACAAAATGACTGCAGAATTATGCATGTTTCAGGTCTTAGTGCTTCAAATCGAATGCCTTTTAAAATTCGTCTTCAATGAGACAAAATAACTTTTTATTAATATAAAAAACTTTAAATTTCAAAAGTTATTCATCGCACATCATGATTTCTATCATAAACAATAAAAAATAGCAATATTTAAACTGCATATATAAAAAAAATCCTCTATATTTATGGCATTCGCTTTGTGGTTTCAGGGCGTGACCACTGCCCTACTAGAGAATTGTGTCACAATGCTCTAGAGGCTCGGTGGTCGCGCCTTGAAACCACTGCCCTTCACAATTGCATTTGCTTGCTTCTCAAATAGGAATTTTTATTTTTACCGGGATATAGATAAAGAGCTTTGAAACCACAGAGTTATTTTATTACTAAACAATACATGCACTTGCCCAGTAAAAAAGTCTTTCTTTTCCAAAAACTTTTCTCTGACTTCAACATGCTTGCTCCTCAAGCTAGTATTGTGATTTTATAAATTATTTCCTGTGGTTTAAATTTAATGTAAATATACTTTGCTATAATCAAAAATAGAAATCGCTTAAACTTTTATTTAAATTAAAAATATTTTCTGAATATTTTGGAACGAAAAACGAATAAAATAAGTATGAATGGGAAACAAATGATTCATACCAAAGTCAAAAAGACTGAGCCCGCCCCATTAACATAAAAAACCGCAAATTTCATGTGCCAGATGAAAAGAAACTAAATAATTTAGATCCAGGCAGTATATATTTCGTAGCACAAGGAAGAAACCTCATAGAAGATACATGTGCGAAACATGCAATGTGGGCCTGTGCATGTATCAAAAAGACAAAACATGCTTTGAACAGTGTCACAAAAAAATTGCTATTTGAAATAATAATAATAATAAAATTAGGAAAAAAAAAAACTGAGTCGGATAGTAAAATAACTGAGTTTTTTTATCCGTTTAGCCAAACATCCGTATTATATAGGTACTTATATTTTCACTGCTACAGAAAAATTACATAAATGTTTATTTTTTAATTTTTTCTGATGATTTACTTTGTAAAATAATGTAAAAAAATTATATATAATGCAATTCTTACCTACATTTAAAAAAAAAATCATAAATTTCGTAATGTATTGGAAACATATATGGAGAAAGGTAAGTTTTTTTCCCCTATTACTTCAATAAGTTTCAAAGTCCTAGATGCGCGGTGCTTTCACAGTGCGACCACCACCCACAGAGCAATGGGCAAGAGTTGATTTTTTTAAATTCATATATTCTTTGTCTCTAAGATCATAATATTAAATTTCTACAGTTTTTTAGTTTAAAAAATAATATCGCGCACGTCAAAGGGTTAAAAGCACAATGTCGATCTTGCAGGCAACCAGACATTTAAAATTATATGCTATCACACTAAGAACGTTGTAGTTTTTATTCATATAGTGATTTTGAAATGCAGTCTAACTTTGTTTCTCTGAAATACAAAATCATATGTGTGTGTTAATTTAAAATAATCCTAAGAGGTTTTGATAGTATGTATTTAACTGGGGGCCCATAGGTAAAAAAATATGACCTATAGATATTGCAATTTTCACAGATGGCACCACAAAACATGAGTGTGTTCTAGAAATACACCTCTGTGCAAAATTTAAAGAATTCGCAAATCACGTTGAATTTTTGATTTTAATGAGAGATTATGCTGAGATTTTAATGAAATTTGGAATGAATATACCGTATTTATGGGAATCTAATACACATCCCCATTTTAAAACTTTAAATAATAAAAAAATTGTTTGTCGGGGAATGTAATGCGCATCAATGATATGAGGAAATTATTGAATCTTATTTTATACAACAATGGATTTGTATATAAACTATCAATTAATGGTATGATAATTTTATTTAAATTTAGATACCATATTTTATACAACAATGGATTTATACATAAAGTAGCAGAACATAGAATTAACCTATTAGTGGGCTATTGTCATGTGAAACAATCATTGTTAATTAGCACTACCGTATATACGGTACCTATCGTAAAATATGAACATGAAATAAATCGTAACATTTCTATCTAGCTAATAGTTTCTACAATCAGTGATTAATAGTAAACGTCTTTATTCACTAATGTTTTCATCACTGGAATCCTCGCAGCTCTCTTCGTCAGAAGCAGATTCATTTCTTCTTTCCTCATCATCGTCATCGTCATCGTCATCGTCACTGCCATTCAATGAATTTGAAATGCAGCATTTCTTGAAAGATTTCACAATCATTGGTGCTTCGATGCTTTTCCAGGCAGCAGAAACCCAGTGTGCAACAATGTGCGGTGCAGCACGCTTAATTTTTCCTGTCGGGGTCAATACACGGTTTGGCTCACAAAACCATTTTTCGTACTCCGCCTGAACGTACCCCTTAAAAGGTTTATTTATACTAACGTCCAGGAGTTGTAACACAGATGTCATCCCTCCAGGAATGATAACAAGATCACTGCCTAGGCTGCGCATCTTTTTTTTTTTAGCATCGTTGGTGAGATGACCACGAAATGCATCCAGACAAAGCATTGATGGTGGATTAGAGCCCACCGGGACGGCATTTCCATACATTTCGGAGCCAATCAAGCATTAATGATTCCGTCATCCACCCCTTCTCTTGGTTTCGAATCAGGACATCATCTGGGAACAGCTTTTCATTCTTAGGGGTTTTAGGGCATGTTTTCCGTTTGAAGATTAAGAAAGGGGGAAGTTTGCACCCGTCTGCTGTTATTGCCAGCATCACTGTTACGCGTTGTTTTTCACATCCCGAAGTTTTGATGATAACTTCCTTAGTCCCCTTCTCCGTAATGGTGTAGTTACGAGGCATATCAAACCAAATTGCCGTCTCGTCAGCGTTGCCAATTTGCCCCATTGAAAAATTCTTTTCCTTCCGAAGTGTGATGACATACCGCTGAAATGTTAGTAGTTTTCCCTCAAAATCTGCAGGAAGCTTTTGGCATATTGTTGTACGGCGTCTTAGAGATAAACCCATCCGCTTCATAAACCGATCCACCCATCCACGGCTAGCCTTAAACTCTTGTTTCGGTATTCCAAGAACTTCAGCCTCCTCTTTTGCTTTATTTCTTATGGTGTCACTAGTCACAGGTTGTCCATTCTTCCTCCTTTCACGTACAAATTCCAAAACTTTTTCTTCAATTTTAGGGTGTCTTCCTTTGCGAGGGCCAGTGAATTTCTTTCTACTAGCTTTAGTTGCAAACAGTGCCAATTTCTGTTGCCGCCACAAGCGAACATTGCTCTCAGCTACGTTGAACTCTCTCCCTGCCTTTCTATTGCCATTTTTTTCAGCATAAAGAATTACTTTACGTTTGAAAGTAGCGTCATATGACATTCTTCTCTGTTTGCCCTCCATTTCGTGACTACGTACTCTGCAGTT